ACGACAGAACCTCCGGCGAGCCCCGCGCTTCGGATGGCTAACGTTCACATAGCTGCATGGACTTTTCCACGCCTTCTCTTTCCTCTCACTGGTCCGCTTCCAACAAAACTTCACGGCCGCTTAACTAGCCGCTTTTTATCGACCCTGAACCTCTCCCCCTCCCTCATTCCCACGATTCTCTTCTATGATATGACAAACATTATTGACCGCTTGTTTGACTTGTACCCCATTCCCATATAAATTTAAGGATCCGATGAGTATTTATCGAAAATTTACGTATGCCCGCCAACTGCTCTTCTGAATGTCGTATAAGTCGCGGAACTAGCGACCTGGTCTTCTTTACCCGCTTAAGTACACGAAAGTACGACTGGACCCCTTCTATACGGTTAATCGCCGTGAACTCCGGAAATTCGACTGCTCAGAGCACTTTGCCTCGATGGTACGACTGCTCCGCGATTGCATGATGTCTCGCACATTAGACAATGGAGCCGCCTCGAAAGCATTCTCGATGAGAAATAGAATGAAGCAATGTTGTGGAGATCGAAGTCCCGGAAAAAGCCTTAGTGTACTAAGTGTATACATATTCATATATTTACATTAAAAAGATAAAAATATTGTCAAAACTGCTCGAGGAGGGGAAACGATCTGAAAACGAAATCAATGAAGAGAAATCGCTATTTTGCAAAAGGCCAGAGTGTGGGTTTTTCGTTGAGAAGGCGGCGGTAGACCATTTCGCGACCCTGAGGAGTAGACATGCGGGCGGTCTCACTGAATTTCGCCTCCCGCTTTTTCATGCACATTCTATGGAGACGCTTGGTTGCTATGGTGGTTGGTCCAACACGGAACATGATCTTCTGCATCATGCGTTCGTAGTCTCGAGGTAGTTTGTTGTTGCGCCAATTACCTTCTTCGGTTGTTGGAAGCACCTGGAGTCAGGAAAAGCCAATTACTCATCTCTGCTTGAATTTGTTGGATGAAAAAAAATATGGGCGATTATTGAACAAAGGCTAAACATTGTTCAGTAAGTCCGTTGCCATTTGCCTGCATTAGATCCAAGCACGTGGGACATTAGGTAACGGGGAAGATGGGGGTACTGCAGCACTTGAATCACGGAAGTCTTTTCAATCAATTCACGGAGACAAACGGCAATAGCCTTGCCCGCATAACATATATTTAGCACTTGAAAATTAGTGTCCCAAGAAGCATACGTTAGGCGCACCATGTTTGTAGCTTGAGGGACTACAGTGTCAACTACCTAGGCCGAGAAAATCACCACCATTATGGTGCGCGTAGCGATTAGACGTGATGCCCACAAAGACACGGAAGACTGTGGTGGTCAAGTCTGGCTTATCAAGCGTTTTCAATCAGTCCCACATAAAAACCCTGTTTTGGATAACCTGGTATCTCCAAGCCGAAATTTTTGATAATTCAGCTGCGGCTTTGACCTTGCCTGATCTATCCGGCCGCAATTATTTCACGGACGGTACCTCTCTATGCGGATCTAGAAAGCTCCACCTATTCTCTTCTTCAGCGACGGAGAATCACTACGTTCCACGGCAGTGTCTCATAAAACTCTAATCTTATCCACAAATTGATATTTCGAGTCAGTTAAAGAATAATGAATAAAGGCAGGTGACAGCCGTCCCGTGTTTGTAGTAGCGTCAGGTCCACCGGGAAGTCAGCATAATCTTGTATTAGAAATATCGAAATGACTATTGAGAGTTACAATGTGAAATTCGCGGTCTTCAGAAACCATGGAATGACTGAGGTAGGTAGTTGCGTCCTAGATTTTTTATGAAGATCGCTAATACGTGATAAATTGTGAGTGCGTAGCTCCAATTACAACACTGAAGAGAAGTAACAGTTTGAAATACGCAGTAGATACACGAAAATAAGTGATGCGAGCAGGAATTCGACAGCCGTAAAGAAGCCAGTACATGTGACAACGGTTAAGACTAACGATAGGCCTATTAATAGGCCTAGAATAGAATTCTATTGGCCAATGAGAAATCCCTGCAAGCTCACAAAGAACAATTAAATATACTAAGAACTAAATAAATAATGGATCGGTCTTTAAGGAACGGGATTCGATGCGGGGCATAAAGCGCCAACTTTGCCGGTGGGTGGAGATCGTGAGCATGACCTCTGAACGGGAAAGATATAGTTGAATTCAGCTAACACAGGCCTTTGGTTAAACAAACATTCGTACAGGAAGTGCTATCTAAAACCCTGAATGGGGTATACCATATAAACTGCCAAAAATTAAGAAGGCTGTAAGTAGGTCTTCAAAAAGGCGAGCGAATGGCAAGCAAATCGAGTAAATAGAATTACCTCAGGTTTGAAAACGTAAGACAGATTTATGCTTCTGTACGATGAGCTGGCAGCCCGTCTTAAATTCAAAGACACTTGAAGAGCTTGTTTTAACAGATTCATTTATGTACAATTGCCGTCTATAATTGCTACTTTTGACGCCGGTTAACGGATACACAAGGCCGGCGGAATCAACGAAAAACGCCACTTTTAAAACGGTTCTGGCGGACGTTACATCACTGCTTTTTAGTGTACAAAGTCTAATCAAGATGTATGATAATTTATTTAGAAAATAGTTAAGAAGAAGAAGAAGAATGCTATATTGAGGATTTTACAAACCTGAATTTT